GTTTTCTCTGCATGACTTGCAGGTTGTATAGTCATTTTACATTTGCAGAGTATGGTAGTATAATATATCCCAGTGTAATCTGAGTTTTACACTCACTTTTTACTTCTGTATGTTGACATAAACTACTGTAAATTCCAGTTGTCATTTACCAGTTTCTACCAGTTTATGATTCAGTCTTAATCTTGTTGATATTTTTAAGAGTTCAGTAAATAATGTCATCTACGTTAATCTAGATTTGTTTTTGTTTTACTCTTTAGATGATGTGAGCAGTATAGACTACTTCGTGCATATATGTTTAGGGGAGGTACATCTCTTGTGTTATCCAAATCTGAAGACAAATGCAAATATTAGTTTTTATTACCTTTGGCAGTTACAACAGAAAACTGCTTTTGCAGTCTTTCGTGTTATTTTAAAATCAGGACTGTTGCCTTTCTATTTAGAGTTTTTCAAAGGCTGTTTATAGTCTTGGGCATATCTTACTCTGTTAGGAAGTAAAATGAACCAGAAATCATTCTGCAGCACTGAGGTTAATTGGCACAGCATGATTCAAATCCATACCAAAGCAAACACTTTCGCTTTCCAAAACAGGATGGCTTCATTCAATTTACCTTTTGGCACCTTTGCCTGTGCAAAGGATATTCCCAGCTGTACCAAGACATGTCACGTAGGAGAGAGCTGGGATTGCACAGACCAAAACTGTGCCAGGAAGCAATAACTTAATGGCATTGGATGTTCATAGGCCAGTACTCAGACCCGTTCACCATTGCTGTGCAGCTTGATAGTATAGATCATAAAGTCATAGAATGGCTTGGGTTGAAAGGGATCTCAAGGATCATCTAGCTCCAACCCCCCTGCTGCAGGCAGGGCTGCCAACTTCCATATCTAATACTAGATGTATATAGAGTAACATGTAATGTAATACTAGATGTAGCATTTGATATAGAAATGCCATCACAGTAGCATCTTAATACTTTACTCAGTGTAATTTCTTCTGTGGTGTAGTTTCTAGCTACTGATCTGTAATGGGGGAGGAGGAGTGCAGAATTTCCGGCAGATTATAAAGCGTGCAACAGGTCTCATAAAACCAATATCCATAACACTGGGGTGTTTTTAATCTGGCAAATAACAGTATAATAACTTCACTGTTACTTAAACAAATGTGGACTGAATAAAACAAGCACAGATGTATCTGATTGTAACCTTTCAGCTTTACTTCAGCTTTTCCTGTCACTAGTCAGTTTAACCCCTTCTTGTCAGATATATTAGTAGAGGCAGGTTAAATCGTTAAGGTGCTTTTCTGATGGATAATGTTGTCTGCTAAGTATTTAGGATACTCAATCCTTGATGAGATTTAAGTACATTAAATATACTTGCATTGCAAAGTACAAAAATGAAAATTTTCACAAGGAAATTTCTCCTTTACTGTAATACACAAAATACATACTTTGCATTTATTAACCTTGAGCTTGCTGAAACTACATAATATATAACTTCATAACTACTTAACTATGGATTCAGAAAGCGAAAATTCTGTTTTACTGTCTAAAAGAGAAAGGCATGTTGTGATGTATGGCCTCCCCTTGCTGGAAAACACGTGTAATGCAGAGAAGCAAGCAATACTTAAGACTGCCAAAACCTCCTATATTAGAATAATTTTTCTTTAAATTCAGTAAGTAGCTGAAACTTTTATAACTAATACTTTCAATTTGATTTTTTAAATATAAATTAGTTAATCTTATTTCATTTTATTCATAAACTTCTTCTAATTGCAATTTCTCATAGCCAGGAGATTAGCCTTCAGTTTTCCTCTTAGTGCATTCATGAATAGTATTGAATAACTAAGTTTGATATTTGCATTTCATTAACAGATGTTTGTAGTCTGAAATCTGAACTGTGTTTGGGACATTCATACTGACTTAGCAAAGGCCTGAACAAAGGACAGCTAGAGCCAAACTAAATGAAGACCATATTAAAATGCCATTTGACTTTCAAAATTGGACATAAATATTAAATGATGCTTTAATAGAGAATCTGACATGCTGCTGCTGCTACTAAAACTACAGTGGTATTCAAATACCTTTTAAATATGGTATTACTCTTTGAGCATTTGTTTAAGTATATAATATGTGGGAGAAAGAATTTTTAGATTTGTGTAGTGGACTATTTCTAACACGAAAGTCTTTACTTAAAATTGCTGCTTTTTTTAATAAATGTGGCAAGAGTTTCTGCACATTGAGAACCCGGGAGTTACTTTAGGACTGAAAAAAAAAATCATATGCTTCATTAAATAACATTTAACTTATTTCTAATGGTTGAATTTTCACCATGCATGCTTTCATGTATCTGCTAACTGCTAGTGTTTAAAGTTATCTAAATTAATAGGTAATGCTTTTGAAATGTCTTAGTTAAGTCTATAGATTGTTATGCTTTGTGACAACAGTTGCTACAGCGGTTATTTTTAACAGCCTGTTTTTGGATATGCGTATATACAGAAGTCATAGCTGTACATATACCTCTACAAAATGTTAGGAAGCATGTATCTGACACAGTGCTCTGTAAACAGAAGTCTATTCCAAGATGGCAGTTTGCCCTTATGGAAAGGCATGGATTAAATGCCACTACAGTTGTGAAAATGCTGCATCTCAAGGCGTGGTTATGTTATTCATATTATTTCTGAGAGGTCAGCACAAGAAATGATTTTAGTTGACACGTTCACGTGCCAGTGCACAGATGCTATTTGGTGGTGAGGTTGGTGAAGCTATGTAGCACGCTGTAGGCATTATCTGTCGTTCTGTCCTGCATCTTCTCCCAGGAAACTCCTTCACTATGCTTGTGGGATTAAGGATAAAGATTAGTAATTCTGTAATGTATGAGTGCTCAGATTAACAGCAGTTTTGTTTAGCAAATGGCCTGCAATATGGCATTTCCTATATTCACTGCTTTAACAGTAGAATAACAGATTTCAGTTGCCCTTTAAAAAGATAAAGTTAAATAAAGACTCTGCGAGTCCAGTACTGGAAGAAATCAAGTATGGTAACTTACTGTGTCTTGGTGCCTTTAGTAAGTAACTTATGGCTATGTCAGCAGCTCATCTTTAATAAGCAAGCAACAATTGCTTCCTGTTTGCTGAGCTACCTTAGATGGTGTCTGTTTCCCTTTGGCTAGAGAAGTAGCTTAGATTATTTTTACTTATTTCACTTGCCTAAAATTAGATGAGATGTCAGGTCAGTGAATTTATCTGGGATTTCAAAATGTTTCTTACACACAAACTTTGTTTTGTGTATCAGGAGTCCTAGGTGCTAGAGAATGCAATTTCATGTGTTGTCTCTCTACTGAGTTTGGGACTTCATTAACATTTTTCTTTGTCAGAATGTAGGTGAAATTTCCCTCTATCAAGATCTCAATTTCTTATTTCATTATATATTTTAGGGACTGATTTTGAAAACTATCAATTGAACTGCAACCAAAATAAAAATTGAGATGCCATAGTTTTCAATTGAATTTACTGTGGTTACACTTATGAGCACCTACCCTATAGTTTGACTAATTCATCTTTTTTCTTACTGTAGGGGTAAAATTTGCTGATTTGCCCTTTAGGGAAATAAAAGACTGTTCTGTTGTGTTACTGATTGACTCAGTGATTATCCTCTCTTTTCTTCTGCAAATTCAGCAAGCTGCAGTCATCCCAGATGCGGCTTCCTTCCTTTCCATTCTCTTGTTGACTACATAATAGAGGAGGAAGAGACTAATCAGGGGAAGGTTGTGTTCTCCTTAGCTTCTGGCAATCAGTTTTGCTCATTGCAATCTTAACAGCCATAGCTAAAGCAAAGGGGCTTATTATTTTGAGCTTGGGATAATATTCCATGAAAATAATATTGTGGAAAAACTGCTTGTAATGTGTTTAAGTCCTCAGTGAGTTAACTTCCTTAGAGAATAGAGAAGCTTGTTACTGAAATTGATGCAAGAGTCTGTGCTGATACCTACTGTTTGCAGGAAATTTAGCCAGCTCACAAAAACCAAGGCCACTTCAAAGTCTGTGAGAAATTTCTCTAACCTGGCTGTTATATTTAGTGGGTATGTCTTCTCTAATAAGGGCTCAGTGGGATAGAAATCTGAATCTTTAGCTGTCTTAAATTAATAAAATTAAGATTGAATGGTAGCTGTGTGTAAAACAGGTGAAAAAAGGTTTATGGGCTTTGCACTCTGTTAATTGGTACCCAGGATGTGGTGTTGCATTCAGGAGAGAGGCAGGAAATTACTAATACAGAATCCTTCTCAAGCACTGTCATTTGCTGTAATAATCAGGTTGGCACATAAATTGTCTGAGCAGTGACAGTTGCATTTTGTGAAACTGTAATTGAGCATACATCTTGTTCTTCAGACCCATTCAAAAAGTCCTTCATCAAAAGACAGCGTATGCAAGCGTATACATCCAGAGCTTTCATGAATTATTCCAGGGAACTATAAGTTAAACTGTGAAAGTCATACAGTCCACAGACATAGGGTTGATGGGAGTGCTGAGGAGTGTTTATGCAATGTTATGTTCACAATATGACTTCTTAATGTAGGCAGACTCACTGAACAACTGTTAAGTTTCTAGAAATCTAGCACGTTATTTTGTTTGGCAGATTATTTAAATATAACCTTATCCAGTAAGCAGTTGTGTCCAATCTAGGAGGATGCTTGTCACAATTTGTTACACAGCTTACCATGTTGTAGGAGAGTTCTGCTTAAATGAAATGCTCCCTGTCAAATTAGATCAGAATGTCTGAGGTACAATGCTACTGCTTAACTGTCTGACAGAAGCTGCCTGTCAGCATTAGGATTTGGTTAAAAAATTAACAACTCCATTGATAATATTTGGTGCTCTTCGGAGCTGTTCACCTCATGGCAGAGAAAATTTTTGTCAGAGATGGTGCTGAAGGCTTTTGCTTCATTTAGAAACAATTAACTCGAAGTGTTGGTTTTTAAACTAAAATCTGTCATCTTAAAAATCACAGTGTTCTTAAGACCACAAAGAAATTTGGAATCAATAGACCCACAGTTTACAATTCGGAGGAAGATGGAGCAGATGAGAGAAGAGAGAGAGCTTGTTGAACAGCTGCGTGAGGTACGTGAGTGTTGGTAGAACTGTGCTGATCTCATGCTTTTCGTTTTCCTTGGGAAAGATGCATAATTAGGAAAACATTAAAAAACAGAACAAAAACAAAAACCCCAACAGATGAGACAATATTACTTTTGTAAATAATGTGGGTGAGGCCATTCTTGAAGTGCTTGATTCCGGTTTGATATTTGTACTTAAGAAAAGGTTTTTGTAAATGGGTAATTATTGTGTGTGTTGCCTGAGTGACATACAGTTAAAGAGCATTCCATGTGCTGGTAGAATTAACAGCTTATGTAACTTCCTCAGAAAAGATGAAGCGATCACTTGAGAGAGAATGATATCTATAAAGCATTTCTTAACAACTGGAGAAGTCTTCAATCTGGCAAGTAAAAGGCATAATGAAAATTGGACAAATACAGGCATTTTTTTGAATCAGATAACGAATGCTTGAAATAGGGTTGGTTTTTTTTCTCTTGAAGGGTGCACACTCAACAGTTTTGATGTGCAAAGTGGAAAAAGTCTGCTGCTGTAGTACAGCTGATTTTGAAAAAGTGCAATTCCAATGATGGCAAAAAACAGGATAGAATTGGTGTGCTAGCAGAGTCTCAAATTAATTAATTCTAATAAAAAAAAACATGAATTCTATTCAACAGAAACGTGTATTTTTCAGTGATGGCAAAGAAGACCTTTTCAGTATTAGAAAACTTTCAGGCATGGCTTCTTTCAACTAGAAACTAGCAATAGAATTGTTGTACATGGGCTGTACTCATCATAAAAATGCACCCCAAACTTCATGGAACAGTCTCCCAACAAGCAAATCAGTGTTTTAAGAGAAGAAATTTTTAATTTATTAATGTGTATAAAACTGTTTGTAGCAGGTTTGCCAGTTCTCTCATAAAAGCCAGACAGGAGAACGTGTCGTGCAATCATAGCTTTTGGTTTGACTTTGGATTTAGAAACCATCTTTGGTACATGGGAAATATGCAGAAAGTTGCACATAAAGAATTTGAAACATTTTTCTAAATCTGCTGCAAATTACTTTATTTTGCAATATCAGATTGTTTTTAATGGGACTTTGACTTGAAAGAGAATTCTTGGATATGTGTTATATTTGAATGTTTTGTCTTGTATTATGTATTGTTTCATCTCTCTAACTCTTTGTAAGTAGTTTTCAGACTACTGGGGAATAATTATCTTGTACTCTCTGCTCACAATGTAATTCTAATTCAAAGTACTGCTGATAAAATTTGTGATAGTTAGGTGGAAGTCCTGGTGGAAGAAAGCACCTATGTATAGTGCGATCACACTACTAATTATTTGGGTACATGTATGTTCTTATATGCATGTATATAAAAATAAATGCAAATTATGATAGCAGCATTGGAAATGTAGACTTCTTTAAAGGAGTTTACATACTTCAGCAACCAACATAGGCTAGAGGGGCTTTGTAGTTGTTTAATAATTAATTACATAACAAATGGGATTACCAGTAAACTGAAACGGAGTACTTATCTAGCAGCATGGGAGATTAGGAGAAGATATGTGCTTTTTCTTTCTTTTTTTGTTTCTCTGTTGAAGTGTGTACATGTTCTTTATTTGCAGAACATTGAAACAAGACTAAAGATATGTTTGCCTGAGGACTTGGGGTCTGCTCTCATGGATGGTGTAGTTCTCTGCCATTTAGTAAATCACATTCGACCTCGGTCAGTAGGAAGTATTCATGTACCTTCACCAGCAGTAGTAAGTTGAATGTTTCTTGTGTTTTACTTTGCTTCTGTAGAGGAGAGTTGTTTTGAAAACAAACAAAGAACAACAACAACAAAAAAACACAATCCCTCACAAAGCTTACTCATTTAATGTGAAATGATATTTGGTTACATAAATTGTAACACAAAATGACAGTTTCTAAGAAGACAGATGTTAAGAAAAAACATTTTCTGAGATGGTCTCATCAAGTTTCTTTTACTGTCACTTGGTTTAAATTACTTCTGCTGAGTCTTTGGTGAAGGTATGACATTGCAAAAATACACAAAACTGAGTTCCTGGTGTAAATTCTTGAAGTTCTGTTGCTGACTTGAGTTATTATCTGTAATAGTAAATATTTTAAAACCATTTTCATTTTTTTTCAGCTTTATATAGATGATATCCTCTTGCTAGAAACAGCTTTCAAATGACTTGAGCCTTGGAAATTAGTCCTTTAAAATCCCTGATGTTATTGTGAATTCTAGGTTTAAATGGGTATTTAGTAGTTACTCTTGTTTCATGTCTTCTATTGAACAAGTAAAATAATGATTTGGGTGGTGTTTTGTTCCCCTTACACTGAAATGTGTCATGAGTTTAATTGCTATCCAGAAGAATAAATGTGTTCTATCACAGAGCATGAGGTTTTAGAACCTCCTAAGCTGGAGATAAGTAAGTGGAGACTTAAATGCGTTGATGACTTCACTAAATAAAAGCACATAGTATCCATAGCTTTCATACTGTGATTGTATTTGTATTTTTTTATAAAGTTGGAGGGGGAGGAAAAAAAAAAGGCTGAATAGAATTATATGCTTTGTTATCAGGAGAAATATAATGGAAATGGTGCATCAATACAGTAACAAAAAAGATAAATTTATTGACTGAATGAATGTATTGACTTCTTTTGTCATAATGTATTTTTTTTTCCTGTTTCTGCAGCCTAAACTTAGCATGGCAAAATGCAGGAGAAATGTTGAAAATTTCCTGGATGCATGTAGAAAGCTGGGGATACCAGAGGTAATTTAATTGTCTACCATTTCCAGATGATAGAAAATGTAAAGCGTGAATTTCTGAAAGTTGAGGGATAGCTTTATGAAATAGCAATTTTCAACAATAAAGACATCTTGCTTGATTTCAATTTTTAAATTGTATGATTTAATGCTGCTTTAGTGCATTTAACTGATGCTACAGCATTTAAGAATGCAAATTTTGTCTTGAATTTGTGATTTAGTATTATCCCCAGCACAGCCTTATGTTTGCACTAAGGAATATGGTAAATGAGTAATAAAATGGTTGTAATTAAGCACAAGTTTACTGATTTTTCTGTATACAACTGTAGCTACATTTTTACCTACTGCTTTTAGAAGATGGGCTTCATTGTTTTTAATTGATGACATTTCCTTTTCTACCATGTGACATACTCAATAGTATGTATTGTGAAAGTGACTAATAACACACTCATGTACTGAAATACTTCTGCAGTGATGGGAAGAAAACCATTCTGTGTGTTAAGGATGGGATGGACCTGTGAGTAAGGTTGTCCTATTTGTATATAAGTTGTGGAAATAGGGAAATTGCAGAGCATGGTGTTTTCTGCTTTTCCATTCAAGGATGGTAGCATTCATTGGGTAATCTGTTCTCAAATTAATAAGGAAAAATGCCCTTCTAAATAACGTAGTGAATTATGGGTTTCATTGGGAATTGTTTGAAGATTCTTTTATGGTCTAGAAGCATGCTTTAAAAAAACTTGGATTTAAAATATTGGATCCTGAAAATAATGTAGAAGTGTCTTATGACGTCTTTTTAATTGAAAATGTGAAAATTGCATGATGTAGTTCCTTTTTTTTGCATATGGCACTATGATTAAGACTGAATGCTTTTTAGCCTATATTTCAAGAATGCTGGAATAGAAGGACATTCTGTCTGTCTTCCTCCTCCACCACCTCTTTGGGAACAGATGATACTGCAAAGATTTCACACTGGAAAAGAATTCCAGTTTTATTTATATTTTATCTACATTTTAGCACTTCATTTGGAGGAAATCAGAAGTAACAGTTCGTTTTTGCTATTTGTAGGAATTTTGAGGGGAAGACTTAACCTTACAACTCTAGGGAGTGATTCATAATCAGTGTGATGAATTCAGTGTTACGGGCTGGTCTCTAAGCTGTCATTGGGTAATTTATGATGTTAGAACTATTTAAAATTTCACTAAAATTTCGTTTCAAAGAAGATGAAGAATAATAAGTTCAAAATCTCAGTGCTGTGGGCTTATGGATGAAGTAGGTATGGAGTGTTTGTTAATCAGCCCTATTATCTTGTGTTACGTTACAAATTATTCAGTGAGTTAGAATTCATGTCAGGTTCTTTTCCTGGGAAAGAAAAGGCCGAGAGCAGTTGTTGTGAAGAGTTCTTTCAAAAACAGAAGTAAAACAGAACATTTTAAAATCTTTGCACCCTGTATCATAGAAAGGTAAGCCAACTACACCAATAATTTCTTTTTAAATTAGTTCATAGAATCATAGAATGGCCCGGGTTGAAAAGGACCACAATGCTCATCCAGTTTCAACCCCCTGCTATGTGCAGGGTCACCAACCAGCAGACCAGGCTGCCCAGAGCCACATCCAGCCTGGCCTTGAATGCCTCCAGGGATGGGGCATCCACAACCTCCTTGGGCAACCTGTTCCAGTGCATCACCACCCTCTGTGTGAAAAACTTCCTCCTAATATCTAACCTAAACCTCCCCTGTCTCAGTTTAAAACCATTCCCCCTTATCTTATCACTATTCACACTCGTTAACAGTTCTGGATCTCTATAAGTAAACTTTTTGGAAACATACCTTTGTTTTCTGTAAATAGGCATTTTTCATGTATTTATTGCTCTACTTTAAAACTTGCATTAAAATTAATGTAGAATTTTTGAAATTTTGGGGGAGTATTAAAGCTTTTTTTGTTGCACAGAACCTTAAGTAAAGGATCAGACCTTATCAATATGATTTATAAACTATCAATTCTTATGAATCTAAAGAAGCATTACCTTCTCTTGAGGGAAAAGCTAATTCACTTAAATGCTAAGTGAACTGCTTGCAATTGTAGATTTCTGATAGTTGTGTAAGTACTCTGAGGACGTATTTGATTCAGTGCTGGTAATTGGCAAATATATGTTTGCCATATGTTGTGAAAATCCATTGTGTTCCAGGCCTAGTTGGTAGATAACAGAATGTTTCTGTGTGCTGGAGGGAAGGGAATAAGGAATATAAAGTTGTATGCCAGCTGGCAGGAAGTTTTTGAAGAGCTGCTGCTGGTGTGCTTACTGCTGCTTCACCTAGCTACCTATGAACAATGCAACGAAAGGAATTAGCAAACCCTTCCCCTTTTTTGGAAAGTATCTTAATTGGAGAGATGCTTTGCTGATGGATCCTAATACAGACAGGTTTTTGTTTTTGTTGTTTTTTTTTTTTTTGTAATACTTGGGTTTAATTCTTGAGAATTAGCTTGAAAATACTGCTGGACTTTTTGTTTGCTTTTTGAAGATTTAAAATTGTCATAGATCCAGTTGTTTGCCTATGGAATGGAGTAAAGCACGCACTGTTTCATGAACTCCACAGCTTTAAAATAATATACTATCAAATCATGTAAAAAGCAAACCAGAAATTGTAGTTACTGTGCTGATGTGCATGGTGTCTTACCGGCTCCATTGCTTTCAGCATTTGATTCTTGTGTCAGAATTGCTTTCTCCAGAAAGATTCTGGCAAACTTTTCTGCAAGGGCAGAAAAATTTAGTAGGCATCCAGATCCGGGTGTGTCAGATGAGCCTCAGGGCTTGACATCTTGACCAAAGTCACAGAAACAGAATAAAGGAATGAGAGCTTCTCTGTGTAATGACCTCATATGTAGATGATTCTGGAATTACTTGTACCAGCTGATACAGCAAATCTGTTAATTCCCAGAGGAGAATTTCAGTACAGTGGGCCATTAAGATCACTTTGTTAGTGACCATCTGATGCTCCTGATTGTATGCAGAGGGATGTTTTAAGGGTATGACTGACCCTTTAATAAGCAACTAAATAGCATGGCTCTTACTGCACAGTTCAGCTAAGAAAATAGTGAGAATAGCAAGCAGGACAAGCAGAATATGTCCAACTTTGCCACTTTTTTCCTCTAGGGCCTTTTTGATTTCCAAGGTATCATAAATCTTTGTAAGCTATCATTTTTGGAAACAAAAAAATTGTTCCTGATATGAGGAAGTGGTAGTGGCAGATAAGCATCTGAAATCCTGAAGACAATATATTATGCAGTGCCCATGAACTACAAGCTTACTTACTAAGAAAAGTATGAAAGAGAACTGTATTTTACACTGCTGACTAAAAACTGTGGAATTGCCTCATCTCTTCTTTAACAACCGTAGAATGGCAGATTCCTGATTTTTGGCTGATACTGATTACATAAGCAATTGGAAGCAATGTAGCAAGTAGGAGTGCCTGTCCTTTCAGAATGATGTGCTGTATGTGCTGGGAATGGATTGTTAGTGTCATGTGAACCCACTATTGACACCAACTGTGTTGCTTACTATGACCACCTGTACTGCACCTACCATCTCACACTTTCTGGGGTTCAAAAATAAAGCTATTTTTTAGCTTTATTTATATCTTTGCACATTTATAAGCGTGGTCTCTGAAGTTTCAAAAGTCCCAATTCTAATGCAGTTCTGTTCTTACTGACACCTTATCTTGGAGGCATTCAAAGTGATCAGGAGAGTCTGAATGACATGAGTATATATGTGATGTTATGAAAATATTTAGGTCTCTATTTGGGAGAATACTACTGTAATATAAAACTAGCAACAGTCACAACGATATGACAATATTCATATACATTTGTTAGTTAGAAGAAGAAATTCTCACCTAGTAGTTCACACACAGTCTGAAAATATAGTGCCATTTTTGACCATTTCCACATTAGAATCTGTATTTATTTTGATAGCAAAGTAGACTATTTTAATCTTCATATCATTAATATAATTTAGCATAAGTTTTCATTCCTCCTCGATGTCATTCGTACTAATCCATTTTCTTAGGCACTTTCATTGATGTTAACAAAAGTTCGTATGCAAAGCAAAAGAGCAGCTGAGCTATGGTGGGCTGAATACTGCTTTACAAGTGAAACATGGACAAAAACAAAGCTGTAAATGCAAAGTCTTATTTGAAAGGCAAAAATTGTGCAAGTTTTGGTACGCATTTTTACTAATTGTCAGTTAGTGAACAAGTATAGCGTATCAGAAGTAGGACTTTCTAAACATCTAAACGTCAAAAAAGAAATTCAACAAATTACTTTCAATGTTTGTGAACCAGCTGCAGAAGCTATCTTTCTACATAGACACAAATTATTTCTTACAATCAGCAGGTTACACCAGTGTAATATTTTAACAGTGTGGACACTTGAGATTCTTTTAATGCTTTATGGGACCACTTCAAAGAAATTAAGTAGAGGAGTTACTTTTGAGAAAAGGTAAGACAGGCTTTCCTTACACATAGACAGCTTGTGAATCTTACGTCGTTTGAAACAAAGGTAGGCATGGGTTATCATGATTAATGTTACAATGGTAATTTCTCTTGATAAAAGATGGTGATAAATTCTTTCACAGCTGGCTATTACAGCAGATTTACTGAGCTCCTGTGTTCCAGCATGTTAATAGTGGTGAGCAGCATTTAGTAAGACATACAGTGATTTCTTAGGTGGAAATAGGAGTCTTCTGCAGTGTTTCCCAAGTTTTCAGTCAGCTATTTGGACTACACATATTGAACAGATAGGAGTGATGGTAAGAAATTGCTTTTTTTGATATAAAATAACCTCATGAAGACTCAAGTAACAAAAGACTTCAGTGTGACCATTTTTGGGACTTCAGAATCCTGCAGATGAGGTTATTACTGCATCTCATCTCCTCTGAAAACCAATTCCACTTTGCTACGTCAGCCAAAATTTTTCTCGAGATGACCAATTTGTGTCAGTGTAGGAATTACT